GATCATATTCCCAAGTAAAAACAACTAGATATAGATGTAAGCAACTTACTTTGTGTACCGTGACACATTGTCTACTTTGATCAGAAAGCTAGTCTAATTAAAATTTGGATGAACAATACACTGAATTATACTTCAAGATCACCCATACCTAATATATTAAAAGCTTACTGTGAAAAAAGTGATATTTGGATTAAACAGAGCAATGTTGTAACACTGAGGATTTCCTCATTATGTGCTCAAAGTAAATGTACATTAGCTTTATAATAGAAGCATTTATAGTTAAGAAACATTAAATTTTATACTGTAGTATACGTTATTGTGAACTGTGTATGTTCTGTTGATTGAGAACTAATATGTCTATAAACGTATAAGTACGAGTTGTATAAGAAGAACACACTAATAGTAATATGCTCCACATGAGTTAGATCATGTTGCACTTACAGCTAACTGATATACAGAGATCATAGTAGTTTCACCAACTTTACTATGTCATGCTTATGACTGAATGTATGTAGCACATATACATGTATTCAGTGTACTATGCGAATGGGTGCAGTCTCACTTCTAATTGCAGTAAATAAGAGTGCAATAACATTTCCTAATAATTTTATATTGAATTAAGGAAATAATTCATGGCAAAATATGTACAAATTTGTGTGAATTTCCAAGGAAAACGATTTTCTTTTAATATATATGTAGCGTTCCTCCCCCCCCCCCAATGACTGAGCGGTAATTCTGAAGGCTTATGACGCTAAAAATCTGGTTTAGATACCTGTGGTGCGCACAGCACAGATAGTCCATTGTGTAGCTTTGCGCTTAACAACAAACAAACAAGTACACATAGTGTGTTGCATGTTTGCCTTTGTTAGCTATGAATCCGCTTCTTGAAAAACCTGCTTAACTAGATACATATACGAGGTTTAATAATGTTTACAGAATTTGAAAGCTTTGTGGATATTTTTTACTCTAAAACAGAGAACGGTGTGTTACACAACTTCTGATTATATATTAATGACTAAAACTATTTCCCCCATTTAGACTTTCGTGTGAGACATCAAATCTAACCTCACCGTTAACACAGAGAAGAAAATTAACCAACTCCCTCAGAAGCATCAGAAAGGACTTATAAGAGAAACGGTTAAATAAGTAACAGAACATCAAAGCACAACCCTACATATCTATGGTTTCCCTAAAATCCACAAACAAGGCTGATCTCTCCACTCCATAGTTAACTGCGGAGATTCACTATGCCACCTCTTAATTAGATAACTGATAACACATCCTCACATGTTAAGAAATCAGCCACCTATGTGGCGAATATAAAAGCAACCACAATAGTCACACAAAATACAACTGTTAGCTTCGATGTATCCAACCTCCTCACTAACCTACAAACCGCTGACACTACAAATACTCTGCCAATAGCGTGAAAATAATAGAACTCTCAAGAATGCACCCAGCTGACAATCTCCACAATAATTAACAACCACCTTCTGCATTAACTCAACCTACTTCTAACATGAAGATAAATACTACTAACAAAAAAAAAAGGCCTAGGTAGTTCTCACTAAACTATACATAATACAGTTCGAAGTTAATACTCTTAAACTAATTGATCTACGCCCCAGAATTTGGCTCATTTATGTTTACGATACATTTATAATATGACCACGTACCACAAACAAGATTCAAGAATTCGTGAACCACCCAAACAAACAACATCCTGCGTTGCAAGTCACAATGGAAATACAGAAAGATAGCAAGTTCCCATTCCTTGACCTGATGGCTACTAAAACACATCTAACCTATATAAAAGTCAATGTGTATCACGTCATGTCACACTTGATTTCTCGAAATAGTACTCAAAATGCATTTATTCAGATAGAATAGTTCGATTACTGTCTGCTCATTACGATTTTAGTGACGGGGGTGCAAGGGTGAGAGGGGTGGGGTGCTGTGAAAGTGTAGTGAGTGTTGGTATAATTAGCTTAAAGTAAAGCCGTAGTGCGGGATCACTTAGCCTAGAGCCAAGTGCATAAAATTTATCACGAAAGTAAAAATATCTTCAATTTTAAACATAACTTGTTTCTGAATTAAGCTATTTTTTGTTATATCACCAACGTTTTCAATAAAAAACCAAACCTCTTTAATCAATGGAGTCTCTAAATTAAGAAATCAACAAATATTGTTCCAGTTTTGTTGTCTATGTATTTCATTTTATACTGTTACGTCTCCGTTTGTTAATTGATTTTCCGTAACTTCGTTCCGACGAAATTTTAACGACACAAGTCTTTACTTAATAAAACTGGTTTATTCTTTCCGAATATAACTTTACCGATACACTCAACTTCAACAATCGCGCTAAACAAACGCTATAACAACGAACGCCAATAATACTTCTGACTGCAGTTCAATTACTCACCCTCTTCACACACACATTACCTTAATCTCGCGTCACGTTGTCCCCTCTTATATATACCAAACTACCCTATATCTAGCAAATACTAGAGCATTCGCCAAGATACGGGATAGTTCTAGAAACGTGGCGTCACTGTAGTCATGTAATCTCGATGACGCAACAATACTTACAGTACATAGAGTAACCAAAGTATTATGTTATAATTTTGTTGCTAAGCAACATGACATAACAGCCATTGTTGGAACGTAATGTTACCAAAACGCACTGGCTTTTCTATATTAGAAGTTGTTGATCTAACTAATTTTTACCAATAATAATTCTATGAATACCCACGAATTAATTTCATGAATAATCTTAATTCTGATTGGCTCACAAAGGAATTTACCGACGTTTGACTGCCTCGACTGCACTTCTCTGCCTCTTCGGTGGTGAAGTTTGATTTCGCAAAATGTATTTATTACAGTTAGCTATGAAATGTGAGGTGGGGGTGGTAGTACTTGCCCCGTCATTTTTGACGGGCTATACGCTAGTAACTCATATACCACAAAAGTCTGCAGAAAAACCACAGATACAAGTACATATCACAACTGTATATCAAACCCTGAAATGTTACCTAACAAAACCTTTCCTGTTTCCTACAATTTGTTCAACATTACCGTTTTCATTACTTAAATTTGTCAACGACGTAGAAATCATTCTCCTCTCTATAAATTAAACTAGTATATAGCCAAAATCATAAATAATATTCAATGTTAAAACTGGTACACAATTAAAAACATTTTATTTAGACCTAAATAAAATGTTTTTAATTGTGTACCAGTTTTAAC